CCCATCAAAAATATATGTAATAAAGACTGTCATCCAAACATACTGAAGTAAGTCAGTCTCAAGAGTCATAATAAAAACAAATGCCCCATTAAAACTGTCAAAAGACCTGGATAATTCACCAAAGACACAGATGACAAATAAGTGTACAAAGAGATGTTAGCATCTTATATCACTGGGAAACGAGACACCATACACACCTGTTAGAAAAGCAAAGACACAGAATGCTGTCAACACAACTTTGGAGAGGAGGGGAAGCATCTTTTGCTGGTGGAATATAAAATGGAAGAGCTATTCTGAAAAAGTTTGGTGACGTCTGACAGAATTAAATATACTTATTATGTAATACATAATGTTTCATTGCTTTTACCCAAATTAGTAGAAAACTTACAAATACACAAAACCTGTACAAGAATATTTACAGTAGATATATTCATAATTTCTGAAACCTAGAAACAAACAATATATTCTAAATAAGTGAATAGACCTACTGTTACATCCAGACAAAATATTATTCCACACTTAAACAAATGAGCTCTTAAGAAATCAAAAGACATAGGGAGGGGTCTCAGGACGTGGTTTCAGTTGGCAGTGTCCCCGCTGAGCATGCACAAAGGCCTGGCTCCATCCCCGGCACCACATAAACGGGGAATGGTAGTGCACATCTGTAGTCCCAGAACTTGGAGAACTCGGGAAGGGCAGGCAAGAGTAGAGTTCCAGGTCATTCGAGTTTCAGGGAAGGGGAGGAAAGAAGCGAGAGAGGGAGGGGAAAAGACAGAAATAAAGGGAGCGATGGGGAGGGACAGGGACTTTCTGCCAAGCCTGAAAACTTGAGCTCAACCCCTGGACCCACATAGTAGGAGAGTACTGACCCCCCCCCAGGTTGTCCACTGTGGCACAGGTGGCAGGGGAGGGAGGGTACACATATATACACAATGATTATTATTTTTAATATACTAAGCAGAACTGCTTGTATTAACCTGGGAGAAGTGAATCCTTCTGAATCAGTCTGCAGGATATGTCTTCATGTCATTTTTTTGTTGTTGTTGTTCGTTTGTCTTTTCTCCAAGACAGGGTTTCTCCATGTAGTTTTGGTGTCTGTCATGGATCTCATTCTGTAGACCAGGCTGGCCTCGAACTCACAGAGATCCTCCTGGTTCTGCCTCCCGAGTGCTGGGATTAAAGGCATGTCCTCCTCCTCCTCCTCCTCCTCCTCCTTCTTCTTCTTCTTCTTCTTCTTCTTCTTCTTCTTCTTCTTCTTCTTCTTCTTCTTCTTCTTCTTCTTCTTCTTCTTCTTCTTCTTCTTCTGTAAGCTCTTTTTTAACTTTATATTTATTCCATGTGCATTGGTGTTTTGCCTGCATGTATATTTGTATGAGGGTGTCTGATCCCCAGAGAGGCAGTTGTGAGGATAATTGTGAGCTGCCATGTGGGTTCTGGGAATTCAACCTGGGTCCCTTGGAAGAGAAGCTAGTGTTCTTAACTGCTGAGCCAGCTCTCCAGCCTCCTCAAATCATCTTCCAAAAGAGGGATATACAGCTTCTAGTTACCTGCCAACACCACCCAGTCAGCGGCTCTGAAGCCTCCACCTTCTAATCTGTGTAACAGTGATGCCTGCTGCACCACTGGACAGCTGTGAGGAGTGGGAGAACGTTTTACTGACCAGGTGACATGGGATCCAAATTTGCTCTAAGTTGGATTTCTTTGATTCTTTGCAGAAGTGTAAAGGATTTATTAGGTCAGCATTCCCCTAAGTGGTGCTCACAGAAAATTGATCTGTAATGTTAGGTGTAATATATCACATACTAACATGGATAAATAAGGCCAGCAAATACAGCATGTTTATACTCTTCCTCCATCCCTTAGGTTCACTCTATACATTTCAATATAAATGCTCCATGTTAACTGTGGTGCACATCTATATATAATTTCAGTACATGGCTGACTAAGGCAGCAGGCTGGTGAGTTCAAGGCCAGATTGGGCTACCAAGTGAAACTGTCATAAAAATTAATAAGTGATTTGAGAATTCCTTCTACAACAAAACATTGATATTATTAAATTCATTGGTACCAAACACAGCTGATTGTGGGACTTTTTTTATACAAAAAAGATTTTGTTTGATTTTTAAGATTATGTGTATGTGTGTGTGAATATGAATATATGCATGTGAGTCCAGGTGCCCCCAGATGTCAGAAGCTTCAGATCCCCATGTAGCTAGAGTTACAGGTAGGTATGAGCTACTCCATGTGTGCTGGGAACCAAATTCGGGTACTCTAGAAGAGCAGTGAGCACTCTGGACAGAGCCATCGTTCCAGCCCCAGACTATTTTATTCTTGATATGCCTCTGTACATGTCATAGTGTTCTCTGAGTACCAATTAGGGACCAACTGAAGTAAGTGGCCAGATTCCAAAGATCCTTGTTTATCCCTTGGTGTTGAGAGGTTCTGTGGAAGAGGGGGGCAATTGCTCGCAAGCCCTCAAGTCTGTGTGAGCATTTTGGCCCTTGTTACTGCTGAGTCCTGGATAGCCGGGATGGGGCTGGCAGGGTAACGAACCCAGGGTACACATGGAATCTGGTTTTCTCCTCCAGAGTAAAGCGAGGCAACGTTTGCACAGCTCGAATATTTGCATAGCTGGGACGATGGTCCCTGATGAGTTCAGGGTCCCCTTCTCCTCAGGACCCACTTGTTCTGCTTTCTCATCTCTTCTGCTGGACAAGACCAGGACACATGGCCACCACATAGCAGTCACACACCTGATACCCGCGAAGGGACATCACAACTGACACTCAAGTGGCCGCATCAGTCTCTCCTGTTTGACAGGTATGCTTAGCTCTTGAGTTAGGCTTGTGCTCGACCTTGCAGTCAAGGCTGGGAAAGAAAGCTGCGAACTTCCCTCTCAGTTTCTACATTCTAATGGGGATGACAGCCCAGACAAAGTACACAAAGTAATTAACCGTTAAGTTGTTGAAACATGCTAGAAAGAAATAAAAGTAGTGTTCAAAGTGATAAATACAGTGTCCTAGTAGGAAAAGGAAAAGGGAGCCACTCGATGAACTGTTAGGATGGACTTGGTGAAAGTCTTGGTTTTGGAATGTGGCGCTTTGAAGATACCCAAGGGAAGACTTGAATTGGAAGCTCTCTTAATTCAAAGAATAAAACTGGCAACATAAGCTCCTTGAGGAGGGGAAACAGTTTTGAACTATAAAAATGTTTACTTACTCCAAAGAAATACTATCAGGGAAAATGCAGACTTAAGACTATCTTAGGAGGCTGGCAATGCAGCTCAGTGGGCAAGGTAGGTGCCAAGCAAAGCCTGGTGACCTGGGCTTGTTTCCTGGAATCCATTTGAGGTGGAAAGATGGAACTAACCCCATAAAGCTATCTCCTCACTTTTATACCAGCATGCATACACTTCTCTACACATTAATATTTTGTTTTTAAAGTGTATTGCAGGCCAGCTGCAGTGGCACAAGCCTGTAATCACTCTACTTGGGAAACTGAGGCAAGAGTTCAAGACCACCATGGGCAGCATATGGCCAGTTTTAGGGAAAAGAAAGCCAGACATGGTGATATATGCTTATAATCTTAGCAATCAGCTAGAATAAGAATCAATAATTCAATGACATCCCTTTATAGCAAGTTTGAGGTCAGCCTGGGCTTCAGAAGACCCTGTCTCAAAGAACTAAAACCAAACGCACACATATATACAATAAATAAATAAATAAATAAATAAATAAATAAATAAATAAATAAATAAATAAATAAATAAATAAATAAAAACACGCCCTCTTCCGAGGAACCAATCAAGAAACAAATGGTTTCTGAACTAGAAAAGGACACAACACAATGTCCCCAAGGTTGGTTACCAGGGGTAAGACACTATCTACTTACCCTGTCATCCTGCCTTCACACCCAAGCTGCGCGATAACCAATAAACTCGCTAACGGAGGGGTACTGAGAAACCCCTGTACAACACTGAGACTCAACTTCCTCATCTGTAAGGCCAGGACGAGAACTGGCCACATGGCTCAGAGAGTGACAGCGCTTGTTGAGCAAGCCCAAGGACCTGAGTGCAAAAGCTAGCCTATCACTTCCACACTCTCTGTGCAAAAACGGGCATGCACCCCCCAACACATTGTCATCACCTCCATTTTTAAAAGAGTTAGAAGAGACCATCTCTTTAATCTCTTTCCTGATACACACAAAAGCTGACAGCACTATACAAAAGTCACTGTTATATTAAACAGCTGATTTATAAAATCTGCAATCTGTGAGCTGTATATTCTATTACCATTATTATAAAATGTGAAGTTGTAGTTCAAATATTGTGCCAAAGAGGCTCAGATAGATACGACCTAAGAGCTTTCAGTGTGAGATAAAACATGGATGTCGATTTCTCAACTTCAGAGCCGAGCTCTATTTGGTGACTTTCTTCAGACTGAGGACACTGGACAAGCGTCTCTTCCTTGGTAGAGTTTCTGGTGTCTGAGAAGGCTTGGCCATCTACTGAAGCTTCTCTTGCACATATCACATGTGTGAGGCTGCTCATCGGTGTGTGTGGGAGTTCTGGCTGAATTTCCCCCCACATTCCTGACATGAAAAGGCTTTTCTCCTGCATGAGTTCTTTGGTGTGTGTGGAGATTTGTGTTCTGACTGAAGCTTCTCCCACACCATGAACACTTGTACAGTTTTAGCCTTTGGTGTGGTGCTAGGTGCTTACTAAGGTCTGAGCTCCATCGGAACCTCTTCCCACACTGCTGACACCGAAGAGGCTTCTCTTCAGTGTGAATCCTCTGGCGTTCAACAAGGTCAGAGCTGACTCTGAAGCTTTTCCCACACTCCTGCATTGAAAAGGTCTCTCTCCTGCACGTCTTTCTCGTGAAGATCCACGAGTCTCAGCAGCTCTTGTGCCCATGTTGAAAATTTCTTTCTTTTCTTCACTGGACAGTCTTGTTGGCATTTCCTTGCTCTGTGTGTCTCACTAGGATTTTGTCTGACTGTTGCTTTCTGGGAAACTTTCACTCTGGGCTTTTTTTTTTTTTTTTTTGACACTGCACTGGTGTTTGTGTCTCAGAAAGAGGTGCAGGCTGGTGACTTTCAGTGTCAACTTTCTGCTTCAGCCCTGGTGGAATAAACACAGGAATCAGCCAAGAAAAAGGAAGCCACAGGAGCAGAAATCAATACTCAATTATTTTCAATGCTTAAAGATCATGACATTGCCAGGTGTAGTGGCACACGCCTTTAATCCCAGCACTCAGGAGGCAGAGGCAGGCGGATCTCTGTGAGTCAGAGGTCAGCCTGGGCTACAAAGGGTGTTCCAGGACAGCCAGCACTGTTACACAGAGAAATCCTGTCTTGAAAAAAATCAAAACCAAACAAAAAAAATCATGAAACCAACTCTCTCTCTCTCTCTCTCTCTCTCTCTCTCTCTCTCACACACACACACACACACACACACACACACACACACACACACACACAACTAAACTAAAGTAGAGGACCAAAATATTGAAGGTTAAGACCTTGTAAAGGCTCACACCAAGGCCTGTCTCTTTTTTCTCCTCGAGTGTGATTACCTGCAGGAGATTCTATGGGACTATCTTTGAAGTCTGAGGAACCTTGAACCCATGGCTCTTCTCCTTGTTCCAGAAAGGAAATCACCTTGGGTCTATCTGAGCACAGATAATGCTGTAAATGGAAAAAATAATTTAAGGGCTATAAATTAATTCTAGGCTACTCGAGAAGAAAGACCCTTTTATAGTGTGTTATCTCAGATGACAGACTTCTATATCCAGAGTTATGTTTACCAAAGTAAATCCCAATGTATATCAATGCAAAGGATATGAGAAATGAGAAGCCAGTGTACCTGTCCTCTTCTGTCACCAAGAAATCACTACATTTAACCAAATTCCAGGGGTTGTGAGGAATACAGGCAGGTCAGAATATTTTTCCTAAAGTGTTTTATTATTTTTGATGGGGCGGGGTAAAGTAGAGTGCCCATGGAGACTAGAAGAAGGTGTCAGGCCCCTTGGAGCCAGAGTTCCAGGCAGTCGAGGCTGCCTGGCATGGGTGCTGGAGATTGAAGCTGAAGTCTCTGGAAGAGCAGTGTGAGCTCCTAAACACCGAGCCATCTTCCCAGCCCCCAAAACTGGTTTTCAAAAAGATTTATTGTACAAAAGAGAGAGCTGGGTGGCACATGCATAAATGATTACTGTAATAACTACAGTTCCTTATTTTGTTTTTATTTATTTAGCACTAGGCCCAAGGACAGATTTCTATTTTCTACAAATCACTCTTTTGTTTTGTTTTGTTTGGGTTTGCTTTGTTTTGTTTTTGTTTTTGGAAACAGGGTTTCTCTGTGTAGCATCCCTGGCTCTCCTGAAACTCACTTTGTAGACTAGGCTGGCCTCAAACTCACAGAGATTCAATTGCCTCTGCCTTCTGAGTGCTGGGATTAAAGGTGTGTGCCACCACCGCCCAGCTTAATTCACTCATTCTTAATGTTACAAAATCACTGTGCGCCTTGGCGGGAAGGGGATGAGCGCCCCAGCATACATGTGAAGGCCAGAGGACAACTTCGGAGATCCAGTTCTCTCCTCCATCCTTATGTGCGCACTGGGGAACTGAGCTCCGGTTTTGAGGCTTGCTCAGAAAGTGCCTTCTACTGCTGCCTGCCCTCCGCCACTCACTCTTTCATGTCCAGCTAGAAGAGACACCAAAGCACTTGATGAACATTTTTATCCAGTATGAGAAGTTTTTGTCATCAATATTTGAGACAGGGCATTATACTGTTAGCCCGTGCTATTCTGGAACTCACACTGTAGCTCAGGCTGGCCTCAAATTGGAGCATCCACCTGCTTCAGTTTCTAGGTAGTAGAATTATAGGAGTCAGTCACCATGCCTGGATTATTAACTATTTCAATAATTATTCTAAGTGGCTGGGAGAGTTTAAATCCAAAGTAAAAGCAGGTACACAGGGCCCTGATTTCAATACTCAGCACTCAAAAGAGATGAATACTTATTGGGTTGGTATGATATGATAGATACTTTACTGAGGATATAATGGTGAAGTCCAAGTTTGTGATTTCATAAGACTTGTATTCTGGTAGGGTGATGAGGCAATACATTATTTAAAAAAAAAACTCAGAAATGTTAGAAAGTGATGTGCAAAAAACTAAACATGACAAGAAGGAATTCTAACATTTTGCTCTTTGAAGCCTATTTCAGATAAGGTTTTATAGAATTCTTTGAGAAAGTAATATTTGAACAAAAAGCTCAACATGGTCTTTGCCATATGGAAAAAAATGTATGCTACACAGACGAAAAGTGAATGTAAAATGAGTATGGCAAAATCAGGAAGCTGGAAAAACCACAATGTGACCAAAGAAGACTGGGGCACGGATAAAGGAGATAAATCCCACCATAAAGGGCGCTGGTGCCCTGGGAAGGAACATAAATCATATTCTTCATTGAAGAACGCAATACAGCAGAGCTGGAGAGAGGGCTGGGACATAGAGAACTTGCTGCTCTCTTGGATAGGACCCGAGTTCAGTTCCCACCTCAGACAACTCCCCATCACCTGTAACTCCAGCTCCAGGAGATCCAACACCTTCTTCAGGACTCCAAGGGCTCCCTCATTTGTACTTGGACACACACACACACACACACACACACACACACACACACACACACACACACAATCAGCAGAGTGCTTGCCCAGCATACCCTAGTTCCAATCTCTAGCACTGAGAAAGAGAATTTGGTTTCTATCTCCTTAGCCAAAGCCAATACTCTTCATTCATCATAGCTCCAAAAAGCGAAATTCAACTTTTTCCCTAAAGTGACCCAAGACGGTCATGATCTCTAAAATAGTAGACTGAGTTTTCCTATGTGTTTATACTTCAGGTCCTACCTTAAGTGCCCTAAAGAACAATAGAAGTGATTTAATCTATCATTTTTTAAACTAACTTTCCCCATCCCCACGATATCCATCATCATCATCCCAGTTCACTGTACATGACCAAGGTTTCCCCTCACCCCGTTCCTCACTTCCCCAGAGTCCCTCTGCGGGTATTCAACCAGGGTCGCCGCCTCTTCAGGGCTCTACGGATGCTGCTTCTCTAGCTGAGATTGCACCTCCCTTGGCAGAATGGTCAGAAACTGTTCTAGCACAAGCAGTTCCAGAATTTGCTCTTTTGAGTGGATCTCTGGTCTCAGCCACAGGCGGCATAATTCTTGAAGCTGGCTGACGGTCTCACGGGGTCCAGCCGCTTTGTGATAACTGAAGTTCCAGAAGTGCCAGCAAAAGTTCGTAGGTATAGCACTGTCGTTTTGTGAGATGGATTTTTTACTTTGGTCCTCTTTGTGTCGGGCTCCCTGGGATACCATAAAGCCTTGATCTGAGGGTCCAAATACTCAACCACTTTCAGATTCACCACCACCAATCGACACTTCACAGGGGCCACCCTTGACAACTGAAGCACATGTTGGTCTGGCTTAAAATCCAGTGAAAGAATCTTCTTCCTAAAGGCACCAAAGACAGAGGAGAAGGGAAGCGCACGTCAACAAAAAGTCACAATGATCTAAGATTTGCTACTTAACGAAAGAAAGCGGAACAGAAAAGGTCCTGACTTGTCCCCCTTTAACGTAAACTCCTATAGGCTAAAGAGATGGTTCAGCAGTTCAGGGCACTTGCTGCGCTAGCAGAGGGCCCCAGAATGACTGGTCAGTCACGGGGCAGCTCACAGCTGTCTGTAAATCCAGTTCCAGGGCATCTGATGCCTTCTTCTGACCTCCACTGGCACCAGGCATACAGGTGGTATACATACATATGTGTAGGCAAGTCTTTAAAAGATAATTTAAAAATCACCAGGCTTTTGTTTCTCTTTTATGTCTACGGGTGTCTTGCTTGCATGTGTGTATGTATGTCTCTATATCACTTGCGTGCCTGGTGCCCACAGAGGGCATCAGATCCCCCCGGAACCAGTTATAGATTATTGTGAGCCTCTTTGTGGATGCTGGGAATCTAATCCAGGCCATCCAGAGTTACAGAGTGAGACTCTGTCAGATGGAGTGAGGGGTGCGGTGAGAGAAGAGAACAAGAGAGGGCAGGGCTGGAGGTTAAGGTGTTATTTTACTGGTTTAATATTTCTTCGAGGGCTATTTAGAACTGTACGTGAGGTTTTGTAGGCCTCCTTTCTTTGAGGTGAACTGAAATTTTGCCCAACATGTTACGATGGTCAGTCTCTTGTGGTCCACCGGGGCTCTGGAGGCACGGAGCCTCTTCCTGCCTTACGCATCAACTTCTGAGACTACACTGGCCAGTCTTCGCACGCCAGCAGTGGTCAGGTAGCAGCGCCAGCGAAGGCAGGGAAGTTTCTCCAGGGCCGGGGCGGATGCTGCGCTGCGGTCCCCAGAGTTGCTGATCCGGGCGAGCCGTAGCCGCCGCCCTGAGTTGCTCCTGCGTGCGGATGCCAGCGCCCGGCTTCGGGGCCTGACCGCGGCCTCGCTTCCGCCAGTTCCCGACCCGGTCGGCTGCCTCCCCGGACCAGGTCACACGCTTAGCAGAGGCGGCCAAAGAGCCCGCGTCCCGGGCACCTCCGAGAGCCGGGCTTTGGGAAGCCGCTTCCGGTTCGCTCTCGGGCGAGCCGAGCGGGGAGGCCAGCGCCGCCCAGTCCCGCGCAGCACCCGCGCTAGCCTTCCCGCACAGATGTCACCCTTGCCTTCCAGAGGGTTTGAGCGCGCGCTCTACCGGAAGCGGAAATGGTGTTCCCGAGGCTTCGGTGTGTCTCCCCTTACCCTTCGCCGAGGGTCTGGGCTTGTGCGAGCATCTAGGGGGTTAACGCCACCGAGTTTCCCGACCTGCGGGAGCCTAGGGTAGCCGTGCGCACTGACGGACAGAAGGGCCTCGCCTCCATGCCAGCCCAGCGGAGCTTTGGGCTGGTGTCTAGGGTCATCACGTGCTATGGCAGCCGCCCCTCTGTAGGCTGTGCTCACTGTCTGGGCTCCTCTTCATGCTCCAGCTGTGCTCCCGGGGCCCTTCGCACCTTCCTTCGGGGACCATGAGTGTTTTGAATGCCCACGGAGTCGCGTGATGCTTTCCTCCTTACTGATTTTGTTTTGTTTTTGTTAGATCTTAAAATTGCATTTAGGAAAGGAAACAAGGTTTTGTTTTGCTTTTGAGCTTTCTAGGGAAGTTTATCTGGAGGTAAGCTTGAGGTAAGAATGAAAATTGTTGGGGTCCGTGAGAAGTCCCATAAAAGACCACCAGTCACATATGCAATCAACAAGAGCATTTAATAAAAAGTTCCAGTATGCTGGGGTCAAAACATCTGACAGAGTGGCAAATGGTGACCCAGAGAGAAGCTCGCAGGCTCCTTTTAAAGAAGGATTAGGGGAATTTCAGCTATGGTTCAGCTATAGGAAGTGATTGGGTATAGATCCCCACTGGTACAGGAATCATTTTGTGATTGGCTCGTGACATTTGGTCAACAACTGTGGTTGTGGTGTTAGGGGTCTGTTTGCTGTGTCAGGGGCCTGACTGAAAATAGCAAAACAGTTCCTGCTTGTGGCCAGGTAGGACCCTGATTGGCTACCAGACTGGACGTACTTTCTGAGGGTCCGATTAAAGGCAGATAAGAGTCAACATAGGATGGTGGGGTAATGTGGGGCAGAGGTTGTAGCAAACTGGCCCCTGGAAAAAACAAACAAAAGACCAAAAACAAACAAACAAACAAAAAAAAAACTATCGGTTAGGTTCAGTCCTGTTCTAAGAGGGGATGGCCGTTTCAAAAATGAGATGCTGTTTTCTTTTTGCTCTGCTATGGAGTGTTTAGATAGAACGAGGCATAGATCTTGATCCTTTCTAAGCATTACAGATTAAACAGACACTAATGAGCATGTTTGTCACTTGAGTATGTCAAAGAACATCCTCCGTAGAATCTCAATCTGATTGCAACTTACTTTCTTTTTTTTTTTTTTTTTTTTTTTTTTGGTTTTTCGAGACAGGGTTTCTCTGTGTAGCTTTGCGCCTTTCCTGGGACTCACTTGGTAGCCCAGGCTGGCCTCGAACTCACAGAGATCCGCCTGCCTCTGCCTCCCGAGTGCTGGGATTAAAGGCGTGCGCCACCACCGCCCGGCGCAACTTACTTTCTTAAAACCTAGTTATTGCTCCCAGTCTCAGAACCAGTGGACCACAAAGCTTTTAGTATTGAGATGCTGATTGCTTTGCCCAGTGTTGAGCATATAATTAAAACTATTAAGCCAGGTGGTGGTGGTGCATGCCTTTAATCTCTGCGTTCCGAGGCCAGCTTGGTCTACAGAGTGAGTTCCAGGACAGCCAGAACTACACAGAGAAACCCTGTCTCAATAACCACTATTAACTGAATGAATGAAATGCTCCAACTATTGTCATTAGATATGGCTAACAAGCCTTAGTCATAACATAAGGAGAACACTGATTAAAGGGAGAAGGTTAAAGAGACCCTGTGGGCAAGAATCGAAGCAGGGCACAAATGGCGTGTAGGACCAGTGATAGTTTTCACGGTATGAAGTTTGGTGCCACAGTTGCTTATCCTTCCTGTGGAAGCTACAAAAGTTACACCTTTTGATTCCACCTTCCTTTGTTTGGGCTCTGTTTCAGAAGTAAAATTTATACTGAAGAAAAATTAAACTCTGAAATACAAAACATGTGTCATTTAATATCCTGGTGTAAATTTAGGAAAACAAATAAAAGGGCAGATTTTTAAAATTCCAGTACAATATTTTGCAAACCTTATAGATTCCTATGTAAGAATTACATAATTCTGAAGATTAGATAAGATCCTAAATATGAAAGCATTTCATTAAATCTGTATCTAGAATACTCAAGAAGATCTGAGAATGGAAAAGCGCCACTAAATGCTGTTGCCTGTTTACAGATTGCTCTGGGGACTTAGTGACACCCGAAGCTCACTGCTGTTTTGGCTGAAATAAAAGTTATATTACAGTCGTGTGGACAGCATACTAAGCTGTCTTCACTTAACAGTCTACTCTATTTCCAAGTTCCTGCTACCCAGATTCCAGTGTCAGGATCCTTGAGGCTTGTAGTCTCATTAAATAGATAAACTTGCTCAGACAATGCTATATTTAGAGCAACATGAACACCATTCTCTTTTCTTTCTTCCTTCCTTTCTTCCTTCCTTCCTTCCTTCCTTCCTTCCTTTCTTTCTTTCTCTCTTTCTTTCTTTCCTTTTTTTTTTTTTTGGTTTTTCAAGACAGGGTTTCTCTGTGTAGATTTGTGCCTTTCCTGGAACTTACTCTGTAGCCCAGGCTGGCCTTGAACTCACAGAGGTCCACCTGCTTCTGCCTCCGAAGTGCTAGGATTAATGGCGTGCACCACCACCGCCCGATTCCCATTCTTTTTTCTAATAGTGAGGTAGAATCAGGTTGTTCATGAAGAGGAGAAGCCGCACTGCACCTCTGCTAAACACAGTCACTCTGTCATTGAGTCTGTCACACTTTTCTCAAGTATCCCATTCTCATCTGTTCTTGTGGGAATGTCTCTCAGTTGCTCCCTTCTTTATTTTGTCCTGTTCCCTGTGTTGAGTTAGGGAAAATCTGCAAGTGTCCCCGTTATTCCTGACTGGGGAAGGAGCAGAGAGCTCTGAAGACTGACTTCCTCTGCCTTGCAATAGGAAGAACCAGACAGTACTTGGACAATGGCAGCTTTGAGTAGGTCCTTACCTCTCCAGGTCATACTTCAATCATGAACCTGATCATTTTCACTCAGTTACCTTTCTACTTCTTGTGGCTTTCTGCAGCCTTGATTTTTTTGTTGTTGTTTTAAACAAAAATCCCTTTTCCCCAGTTTTCTAAGGCTTCCCCCATTTCTCCTGTTTGTTGTCTTTAGTCAAATTAAGAATGAATAAGAAGAGGGAAATATACTCTACTGAATTTGGAGGAGAAAATGAAGGTTCTAAGTAGGATTGAAGCTGGGCAATCTCTTGAAAGTGTGATAGATGAATTTAGTATCAGTAAATCAGCGTCTTACCACATTAAGAAGAGCCAAAGTTGGTTTTGGATTTTGTGCTGAACAGGATATGCCATTAGTAGGGACTGAAAAGAGAAAGAGGATGACAGGAGCCAAATATGGTGACGTCAGTGATGCAGTTTACATGTGGTACCAACAGAAGTGCTCGTCTGGTATCCCTGTTAAAGGTGTGGAGCTTCAGGCTGCTGCAGAAAGATCTGCAGTGTTTTGGGTGAACAGAATTTAAGGCCTGTACAGGTTGGCTCTTTAGATTTCAAAATAAGCATGCAATTGGGAACCTGTAAGCGGAGTTTTTCATCGGGACCACCTGCTCCCCAATAACCACACAGAGACTTATTATTAATTACAAATGCTTGGCTCATAGCTTAGGTTTGTTACTAACTAGCTCTTTCAACTTAAATTAACCCATATTTCATATCTATTTCTTAGCAAGCATGGCCTGTTCCTCTGCTTCTTCTGCATCTGGCTGGTGAATCTGCCCTCCTCCTTCCCAGCATTCTCTCAGTCTGGCTCTCCTGCCTAACC